TAGATGTCATTATGTCTCCAGATTCCTCTTCATGCTTTAGAGTCCCTGGTAACAACCTAGCAACCGTGGCAAACCATGCCCAGCAATCAGCATGCATAAAAAAAAAGGTTCCCTGCATACTTTTTATTTTTCATTTTATTATTATGAAAATACACATTGGCCTCTCGTGATCAATGATTTGATTAGTGTTTTTTAAAACTTTTTTCTTGTCATAGCCATAAATAGGTCCACATTGTAAAACTTCTCGCGATTGACTGAAACTCCGCCCACGATCGACTGGTGGACCGCGATCGACTGGTTGGGCACCCCTGGTTTAAAGTATATGGAACTGTTGGTTAATAAAATATGTTATGTCAGTAGTTCTCATACCCAATGTTGTTGACTATTCTTCTCTGAGTATTATCACTTGATCAAACCTTTTATTCCATCCATCCATCCATCCATCCATCCATCCATCCATCCATCCATCCATCCATCCATCCATCCATCCATCCATCCATCCATCCATCCATCCATCCATCCATCCATCCATCCATCCCATTCATGGCGAGGTTGTAGAGGCAGCAGTCTAACCAGAGATGCCCAGGATCCCAAGGCGACACCAGACCAGCTCAGAAACATAGTCCCTCCAACGTGTCCTTGGCCTTCCACGAGGTTCCAGGCCTTTCAATAGGACAGGCCTGGAGCACCTCCTGAGGGAGGCTATCAGGAGGCATCTGAAACAGATTCCCGAGCCACCACAGCTTGCTCATTTCAACATGGAGGAGCAACCACTCTACACTGAGCTTATCCTCCTGGGTAACTGGGCCTCTCACCCAAATATCAAATATATTTATATCATTCCATGCAACAAAATAATTATTAAAAATATGCATTACTCGGGCTGATATCGTACCAGGTCAATACCAGTATCATTCTGTTCTTTAAGTTGCAATATTGGGATTGCATCAGAAATGAAAAAGTTGTATCAGAACATCCATACTTTCCACTTGCTAAAATTGTTTTAATGAGCAGAGCTGAAAATCTGAATTCTTGTTTCTAAGCTAAATGTCTGACATACCAAGTCCAATTTTAGTAGCAAATTCAGAGTAGGCCTAAACACTGTACAGCTGAACCAATTTAGACCTCAAACATCAGATAATAAGTTGAACACACCTACTATTTTTATTTGAAACAATTATTATCTTGTTATATGGCATTTATTAAGTTTTTGGATTTGCAAAAAAAGTACAATCTTTCTTTTAAATGAGCACAAATAAAATAGAGTTTACATAACATGAGAAAAGTACTCCAAAAAACAAAGACAAAATAAAAAGAACCTGTGCTAGAAAAAAATGCTTAAGGATTAAAGTCAATCTTATTACTCTTGAGATTGAATAAAACAGTGATCTTTATCTTTGAGAATTCATTTAATTAAATGACATACTGTTGCTGTCTAAAATGATCTTCTCTTCACCGTATTTGCCCCGATATCAAGAAATGAAAAAAAAATAAATAAATAAAAATAAAAAAATCCAAGAGAATCCCTCATAAAAAAAAACAACTGGGTATGGACGTCCCCTGCACCTGTTTGAGCTGGATTATCTCATGTCACCATCTTGAAAACCAGCTGCAAAGAAATGAACTCTGTGCTGCCAGATTAGCAATAAGTCATCTGACTGCAGCAAGTTCGGGATTAACAGATTCTCTTCTGCTAGCAGGGGTTGTACTTCATATCAAGACATCAGAATCCTTGCTATCGCTGTGAGGTAAATGGGCTGCTATTTGTGACTTGTAATAGAAATAAATGCATTAACTGCATAACATGCATGAAAACAGCCACAGGACACTAAGAATTTATCTAACAAAACAGAAAAAAAAACGTATTGGTTAAAATTTACTAATCATGTTTTTCTACGTCTGTGTATTATGATGTTTTTCAACTTTTTACAACATATGGGAGCAACTTTGAAATATTTTACTAATTATTCTAATAGAAAAAGACAAATAAAAAGCACTTAGAAATAGCAGGCCACTCATTTGTGACCACACAGCAGGATACTGCAATGCACTTCATTTTGGTGTGGATAGTGACATGCCTGGTGCAAAATGCTGCTGCACATCTTTTTATTTAACAAACAGGACATTTGAGTGTGTGTTTGAGTTTACTTAATTGGCTGCCCAACTATTTAAGATTTTTTTATTCGGTTTTTCATCTGTTTTATCAGCCCTATCTGCCATCTTGCACCTTAGCTGAGCTTTGACACCTACTCTTGTTAAAAAATGATGTGAAATACTGGGCTTATATGAACCATCATTTACCTGGGGGTCCTAACCTTAGCTTTAAAAGACCTTCACCTCAGAGCCAAATTCGACACAACATACACTATATTGCCAAAAGTATTTGCTCACCCATCCAAATTATTGGAATCAGGTGTTCCAATCACTTCCATGGCCACAGGTGTATAAATTCAAGCACCTAGGCATGCAGACTGTTTTTACAAACATTTGTGAAAGAATGGGTCGCTCTCAGGAGCTCAGTGAATTCCAGCGTGGAACTGTGATAGGATGCCACCTGTGCAACAAATCCAGTCGTGAAATTTCCTTGCTCCTAAATATTCCACAGTCAACTGTCAGCTGTATTATAAGAAAATGGAAGTGTTTGGGAACGACAGCAACTCAGCCACGAAGTGGTAGGCCACGTAAACTGACGGAGCGGGGTCAGCGGATGCTGACGCGCATAGTGCGAAGAGGTCGCCAACTTTCTGCAGAGTCAATCACTACAGACCTCCAAACTTCATGTGGCCTTCAGATTAGCTCAAGAACAGTGCGCAGAGAGCTTCATGGAATGGGTTTCCATGGTCGAGCAGCTGCATCCAAGCCATACATCACCAAGTGCAATGCAAAGCGTCGGATGCGGTGGTGTAAAGCACGCCGCCACTGGACTCTAGAGCAGTGGAGACGCGTTCTCTGGAGTGACGAATCGCGCTTCTCCATCTGGCAATCTGATGGACGGGTCTGGGTTTGGCGGTTGCCAGGAGAACGGTACTTGTCTGACTGCATTGTGCCAAGTGTAAAGTTTGTTGGAGGGGGGATTATGGTGTGGGGTTGTTTTTCAGGAGCTGGGCTTGGCCCCTTAGTTCCAGTGAAAGGAACTCTGAATGCTTCAGCATCCCAAGACATTTTGGACAATTCCATGCTCCCAACTTTGTGGGAACAGTTTGGAGCTGGCCCCTTCCTCTTCCAACATGACTGTGCACCAGTGCACAAAGCAAGGTCCATAAAGACATGGATGACAGAGTCTGGTGTGGATGAACTTGACTGGCCTGCACAGAGTCCTGACCTCAACCCGATAGAACACCTTTGGGATGAATTAGAGCGGAGACTGAGAGCCAGGCCTTCTCGTCCAACATCAGTGTGCGACCTCACAAATGCGCTTCTGGAAGAATGGTCAAAAATTCCCATAAACACACTCCTAAACCTTGTGGACAGCCTTCCCAGAAGAGTTGAAGCTGTTCTAGCTGCAAAGGGTGGACCGACGTCATATTGAACCCTATGGATTAGGAACGGGATGTCACTTAAGCTCATATGTGAGTCAAGGCAGGTGAGCAAATACTTTTGGCAATATAGTGTAGATATGGGTGTGTACCACATAGCAATTAAAGGAGATCTCATAATTTCTAAAAAACAAAGCCGACAGAAAGCAGGTGCAGTCTGAAAAGAAGGGGGCCTATAACGGAGTCTTGCAGGACACCACACAAGGAACAGAAGGATGTATGGTTTCTGAGGTAGACACTAGAGGTTAATGACCGGAACCAATCTAGAACTTTACAATTACCTTGAAGAATATATTGTTAAATACTTTAAAATCTTTTTAAATCTTTAAATCCAAAGCGTAAAACTGAAGTGAAGTTTTACTTTCTTTGAAAGAAACTGTAGTTTAGATTGTCCCGTAAAAGCAAGAGTGAGTTTGATAATTGATGCATAATCTCATTATGCCATCAAATGCTGTTAAAACCTATAAATAAACCAACTCATTTAGATCAGGCAGGTTGCAGCAGGAAAACGCCCAAAACATGGAGGACAGTGAGACCCAAAGACCATGAATGACTATCACTGATTCAGATTGTCTTCACTGCAGACTATTCTCTGAACAGTGAAACTGATATTAAATATATATATTTCAAAAGATTTTTGGAAAACACACAGCTTAAACTACTGGAGGACAGAAATAATAAAAAAATTCAACAGTTCAAGTTCGCATGATCATAAGACAAACAAGCGGACCAAGTCAATCAAGCTCAAAGCGTGATTTATACATAAATATTAAAGGACTTTGCCCATAGCTGTCCATAAGTAATTACCTATACATATATCTTTAGATGGCAATACAAATAAGAACAAAAACGATGTGCAGACATAGTTTTGATTGTTTAAACACTGATTTTAAACTGTCATGTCATAGAATAACCGTATAAAAGGGAATATTTACTAAGACAACTCACTGATAACAGACAAGGCAAGAAACGGAGCTTGTAATAGAACTGGATCTATACAACACTGAATAAAAAGAAGACTAGTGAAAAACATGCAGCACATGACAATCAGTCGAAATAACTCAAATCAAACTCAAACAGCGTTTCACACTATGCTATATTTTTAGTACTTTCTTTAACAGAAATAGAAAATAATATTAATATAAATTATAATCCCATAAACATAAAGCTGATCTATATTAATAATCTACTTAAAAGCAACAGATTAATAGGTGAATCTAAAAATACATGTGTAATGCAAAGATTTAAAGGACAAATATCACCCATTGTATAAAAACACAAATAAAAGTATTGCTTCAAATTTGTTTTATGTATATACTGAAATTGAATTCTTACATTTTGAATGGATGTTTTTGTTTCCCTTTAAATCTTAACATTAAGATGCCAGGAACAGTCAGAAAATAAAACCCGTCTCAGGGAATGAGGTGAATGTGGGAGGGAGAATGTATGATTGAAAACCCTTACCCATGAACCCAAGGACAAGCATGGGCTGGGGGCAGGCTCTCCATTCTGGGATGTTATGCAGAAGGAAAGATGGTAAACAGGGAGAGAAAAAGAGCAAGCATGAATGAGACAATGAGGATGGGGAAGAAAAGCAGCAAAGTAATGGGAAAAGGGGTGAAAGAGGGAAATAAGGTATAAACTGAAATCCAACCTCTGCCTGTTAAAGGGGTTGTTCGAGTAATAACATAAAGCTTGTTAAATGGGATCAGCAAGAAATCATGAGTATGAAATGATCATCAGACAGAGAAAGAGATAAAATGCCAAAAAAAAAACTAGATAAAAAGAAGAGATGGAAGAGAAAGTTCAGGAATCAGATAATTTGGCATCAACACAGATAAACTCGACCGCTGAAAATGCAGACTTGTGTGATGCAACTGTGTGTGTGTGTATACGGCACCACTAAAACCTGGGCTAATGGACAATCAGAGGGAGTAGTTTTCCTCTCATGAGTCTGGGACCTTTTAGCAATAAAGAGATGAAGGCCAGGGATCAAAGCAGTTAAGTCAATATGCAATCAAGCAGCCCAAGTCTAGTTGTTGAGAAACAGATGGCGTTTTCTCTGCAACGTTCATCTAATAATAAGCATCCATAAAATCTGTGGTATAATGCATGGCATGCAAAAGACGGGGAAACTGCGTGCTTCCATCTGCAGAAAGAGGATTTCACGGTGCATGCTGTGTAGAATTGAGAAAGTATCTGTGAGGTATGTCTTATCTTTGCAGGAGTTTATTGCTGTGGTTTGTATAAAATGTGAGGAAATCAACAAGATAAGGTAAAGCTATGGTTAAGTGTCAAAAATGTTTAAAGGACTATATAAAAAAAGAGGTTAAAAAAGGTTTGGTTTTTTTGAAATAGTAAATCTTTAATAGAAGTTGCATGGTGGACCACTATGTGTCAAAATCACCTAAAATCGATGACCTAAATATATGATGTGCTCACTGAATGCAGGCTTGGTTTATTGGACAATGAAAAGTGTTCGTAGCTCTTGAACCTTTTCACATTTGATCACATTATAGCTACAAGCTTCAAGACTGTCCTCAGGAATTTATATTAAAGATCATCACAAAGTAGCACTTAACTATAAAATGAAAGGAAAAAGGAACTTCATATTGATTACGTTTTCAATAACTGTAAAAACCTTTGAAGATATGTCAACCGGCTTTACACACCTGGACTCGCATATCTGCTCATCAAAAAACAGCTTAAACTCAATCAGGTTTGATGGAGAGCACTTTTAAAGTGTTTTTTTTCCCACAGCTTTTCCAATGGATTTAGGTCAACCTTTGTTTGGGCAGTTGAATTTTTTTTTGATCTACTCCATAATGGTTGAAACAATTGGATTAATGATAAATTGCTTATTGAGAAAGCTGTCAACCAATTTAGTCAATAAATAACAGTAAACCAGAGTATATTGACACTAAAATACGACATTTGCTGAAAGAACGATTAGGAGCAGTCAGAACTACACAAAATATGTATATTGCACATTTAGGTTGTAGTAGTTCTGTACAGTAAAAGTAGTTCTGCTGCTTGTTTTTTTTTTTTTTTTTTTTTTGCTGGAAGGGGAACCTTATCACCCTATTTACATTGTCTATAGTGTTTTTTTGTTTGTTTTTTTATGTTTTCCCTGTATCTCAAGACAGATTGCATCCAAATTATTTGCCAAAGCAAATAGACCAACATTCTCTTCCATGACAAGCGACAAACAGAAGCAATAATGTAATTTTTGGCGTTCTTTTAACAATGGTTACCCTTATTTAAAGCATAAATTTGTCAAGGCCTGACAACACATTTTATTTAGGGGTATCAAAGTGATGGGGTGTGAATGCAAATGCATGCCAAACGTTTTAGATTTATGCAACTGAAAATATGTTGTTAATTTTTTTTAAAGATGTATTTTTCGTTCATTTCATAATTATAAACAGTAATAAGCATCCCAGTTAATTAAGTTGAAGTCTGTGGTTGTAAACTGGGAAAATGTGGAAATGTTAAATGTGTATAAATAATCTTTTAGGGTACGGTAGGCTTGCAAGAACCTAAAGGGTCTAGGATTTACCCAACAGCATCTCTTATCATTTCTGTAATTGGAATAGACATTGAGCACTGAGTGAAAAAAATAACATCTTTCCTCTACATGTCTGGTAGAACAGACATGAGGTTTTAATTATTTTGCAGTTGATGCTGTGCATGATTTATGGAAAATAGTAATGCCTCGCACAAATGGCACAATGTTAATATTTCAGAGACGTCAGAGAATTTCCCAAATCATCTTTCCCTTGTTCGCTTATATCTTATTAATTTGAGGCAACCTGTCTTCATTGTGAAGGATTAAATCAGAATGAAAGCAACATAAAAACCTCTCATCATGCAAAAATAAAGTGATTTGAAGTTTGGAAAAATACCCCAAAGAAAAATGATCAAATAATTGTATTTTTTTTACATTTACAAAAATCCTGTTTGTAATGGGTTAAGCTGTGCTTTTGTCATGTTTAAAGCGACTCAGTTCTTTGTTAAATGAAGGACCATAAATAACAGTGGGGCACTGAGCATAGATCTGAGAATAGATCCATATTTTCTTAACTCTAATTAAATTACTTTTTAGTTGTTTTCCTCATAAAAGGAAATGAGAACATATTAACTGTAATTAAATAACACTATCTTCATCTGTCTAACAAAACAAAACCAAGAACTAAACGGGAGGATAATAGATTGACAGACTGAAATCTAATAGGACAGTCAGGTGCTAAAATAATACCTCTGTTTCTGGGTTAATGAGCGCCCCATCGCAAATCCTTGACTGTTGCTGTGTTTGTTTTAGCTAAGTAAAAACTATTTCTCAAGATTTAAAGGATGTACAAAAACTATAATAGTCTTTGATTAAAAAAAAAAACAAATGAAAAACTAAAAATGCACTTTCTAGAGACTGATTTATACTCAGTAACCAGGTCGTCTGCGTGTGTCGCAGTGAATGCAAACTGTGCTTCTGCCCCCTCCCCTCTCACAAATTGTAGCTGACCAAAGACAGTGCCACAGACAGGAGGCCTATGATTGGTCAAATCTACATCCATAGATGTAGATGCGTATTTCCTGTTTGGTACCGTACTGGCTTCTTTTGTTTGAATGACCGCAATTGCGGAAAATGACAATTATTGTCCTGGGACCCTTTTTCCACCTGGATCCCCGCTCTTTTTCGCCCTCATGGCCCTCCGTTTTTGCACAAACTTTCCCCGACTTCCTCACCGCCTTGGCTGTATATAGACCCAGAGCTAGTTCGTGATTGTCTCTCTTGCATTGTGGCGTGGAATAATGAAGCGCAGACCACGCTTCAATATTGGGCATAAATCAACAATGACAAGCTCACTGCGACACACTGCTGCAGGAGTATAACCAGCCCTTAAGGAGTAAGGTATGGATCGTTAGGGTCTTTTCTATGATGGATGCAACACTTTTCATATTGTTTGTCATATTAAATTCCAGTAAAATACATCAAGGTATTTGTTTCTTCATAAGAATCAATTTTCCAGGGGTAGAAATACATGGAATAGAATAGCATACAGAAAATGATTCTTTTAGCATGCAAAATGCAAAAATTCCTTTGTGTGTTTTTTGGTTTCTAAATACAAAAACAGGAACAAAAACTTTGGAATTAAACAAATTTAGCCAAAGATTAAACTGTTTTTTTTAAATCAAATAATAATTAGTCTGATTAAAACTATACACAAAATATTTTATATGATCAGGCTTTCTGTAAGCTTCACAAAAGTGGGATTTCACAATGGGCACTGAAAACTAAAACATTCACGTTGGGAAAGTCATGAGTGTCCACTTTGAGTATAAATCCATTTAGACATACTCACTTTGCATTGGGGAAAAAAAGACCTCGGATGAGGGCGCGGCTCTGGTCCATTTGTACTGAGGGGCGGGTTTTCCCTGGCTGGACTTGCAGCTTAGTGTCACGTTGCCTTTCACCACCGGGTTTCCCATCATGCTGCAGAGAGGTGGCGAGGGAGGGACTGGAAACCGACATATGGGTTTATTACAACATATAACACATGTAAGATGAGAAAATACATGCATGACTCTTTCCTGAACATGCACATTTATTTTAATCTGCCGAGGGTGATGAAGAGATTTCTTAGGGCAGTGGCCAGATTGCATAAAAATAAGTAGATATTAGAACCCCCCCCCCACCCGGCTTCTCTCTGCTTCTGGAAGATGACATAATTCTCTCAGAGCTTACTGAATCCCTTAACAGCAGATGAGTTTTATTCCTCATGTTTCTTTTAGCAGGCTGCCTCAATCCAAAATCTCTCAGAATGTGTTCCCTTTACCAAAAGTGACAAAACTATGAGTGCTTATTCCATCTAAAGGTTACAGTTCCAACAACCATCCTGGTTACCTTTGACGTTCAGCCGCAGCTCTCCAGAAATGCCGTGACCTCCGGGGACAATGACGTGGCAGAAGTACAGGCCGGAGTCGGTTTCCTGGGTGTTGTTGATGTAGATGGAGAGGTTGGCTGAAGGCATGGTCACGCTGAAGCCTACTCTGTTGGTGAACTCGTTTTGTCCATGTCCGACTTTACCTGAGCTAAAGTTAATTACCTGCACAAAGAAAAAAGTATTAGCCTGTTAATAATGGGAAAAAATTTATTTCTCTTTGTTTCAGAGGGATTCAGGAAGAAGCAGCTATTTTGTTCTCACATTTTACTGCTTATTTGCACCAAATGCACAAAGCAGATAGAAACTAAAATATGAGCAACCTGCACATTATTTTTTCAGATGCAGAGGAGATAAAAATGGATAAAGAAAATGCTTTTCGTGTTATTGTTAATTTGATTAACAGAGAACTCCGACATCTAAATGTAGGAATCATGTTGCATTTCTGATTCAAATATGTGATACTGCAGATTGCAAAATAAGGCATTCCTTTAAAATTATTTCAACTTATAAATTTATTACATAATCTATGCAACTACAGAACAAAGGTAAAAACTTTAAAAAAGGGAACACCATGATTGCCATGCATAACCCTGATGCTGTTTTTATGTATTAGGAATCTGTTAATTGAACTCTAGGTATAAGTTATTATACCGAGCTTTATACCTATTGATCATTATAAAATAAAGTTATATACACCAAGTGTCCTGCCTGGTAGTGTTTAGATTCTTTATTTAAGCTTGAATAGAATATAAGCATGGGGCATGGTGAGCCGACTTAAACAGATGTTTATAGCATCTGCTGCCAGTACCACAGAACCATCAGAAAGATGGAAAGCAACAATGAATGCAACTACCTATAGAACCTGATTATCACAATTTTCTTGTGGTAAAGAGAGGGTGTGGTTTAAGATCAACTGATTTGATAATTGATAAATAATTGATAAATAAACCAATCTACAATAACTCTTAACACAAACAGGAACGCAGCATCAAGGTAAAAATATTTGAATTCAATTAAAAAAAAGTTATAGGCTAAAACAATTTTTTGGTGAGTGCATTGTTGATGAGCGCTGACTTAAATCTGATCTCATCTTCTGGATTTTAGTTGCTGTGACAGAACTCCCCCCTCCTATCCTTTTTTTTTCAATCAATCAATCAATCAATCAATCAATAAATCAATCAATCAATCAAGCGAGCTCTCTCATTTGTACTCCAATTTTAAATTTCAGTTGATTTAGATTTTAAATTAAACTGATTTGAGTTCCTTTATATAACGCCAATTCACAACACATACCATCTCCAGGTTTTTTTTATAGAGACAATTCAGTCAGATTATAGACCCAAAGTTCTCTAAGGAAAACCAGCTGATTGCATCGACTCATTGACTTTGAAGGAAACACTTCTCCCGATGAGCATGTGGTGAGAGTAGATATTTGCTCTCATTGTTTCACAGAATCTACAGCAATTGTTCACACCCAGCATGTATGCAACGACTGCGGAGAGGAAAAACTCCTTTCAACAGGAAGAAACCTCCCGCAGAACCATCATCTACAATCAAAGGTGTTGATGGAGACAAACAGGAACAGGCCAGATGAAGCTACTATGGTGGGATAAATCATACTTTAGTTTAAAGTCTAAAGACTTTGGTTCTTAGTCTATAGAGCGGAAAGAAAACAGCATAGATAACACTACAATAGGTATTGATAAAGGTGTCTTTTCATGCATCCATCAACTCCACAGCTTTAGCTCCAGCTTCACCAATATTCATACTGTATATCGGGCATTGTTCCAGTCTGCTCCCGCTTAGAATAATATTTTTTGGTGTTGAGTAAAGACAAAGCTAATATGATGGACAGGATGGTATCCTATTCTTTCATGTATGAGTTGTTTATAAAGCTAAAACTAGCTTTATTTCACTAAGGCTATAAACACTTATATACCGTTAATGTTAGCATGTTTTCTTATATGCTCATTATATTTTAATTACTAAATGATCACCAATAGTCATTTAATGGGAATCATTATGTCTACTTGCTGCTAGCTCACCGAAAGAGGCTAAAGAATGAATAAACTAAAGGTTATCGTTTCCTGATTAAGCAAATAGTTTAATAAAACTTTATTTGGCCAAGTGATTTTTTTATTCACCTCTTTGTGCATTAGTTTGAAACCATTCCAGTTGATCTAAATTAGTTAAAAGCTATTTTGACCACATTCCAAATTCTTTAAGATAAACTTTGGTTCTAAAACACAAAACCCATGTTAAACTGATGTATTGCATCATTTCATCATGGTTTTAATCCATGTTTTTCCTTCCTCTTTTTACATAGTAGCTTAGTTTAATAGGGTTTTACTAGTTTTAGTCAATAGTTTTTTACTGAAATAATTTTGAATTGGAGCTGAACAGGTGTCAAGTAACGCAGTACAAATACTTTGTTACTGTACTTAAGTACACTTTATAGGTATCTACACTTTACTCCATTACTTATTTTTCTTACTACTGCTGACTTCTACTCATTACATTTTCACACAAGTATCTGTACTTTTTTTCCTTACATTTTTAAAACAAACATTACTCATTACTCATTACTCTTGGCTTCAGTTTCAATGTTTATAAATATTTATTTCACATCATGTTTGCATCATGCAGATCATTGGCGCCATCCACATCTAGTGAAAACTAGTGTTGGATGAGTCATATAACTCAAACACTCATTGGTTAGCTAAAGGAAATCATCAGAAGCAAGCAGGTGTTCTTCAAACTGCAAACGTAAATTGTCTATGCCATGCTACAATGTTGGATTGAGAAAAAGATGTAGAAATGTCTGAAAGGTCGGACGCAGATGAGAGCGTATCGGGAGTTGGAGACGGAGACCAACAAGACCTCCCTCATTCTTGGCCCTATCTCTAAGAATTTTTCGAAAAAGTTGAAAAATTGAGCTTTTTCGACTATTCATATAGTGGCACCTGTCTGTTTTTTTTTTAAGGTTACTTTATACTTTTATACTTTAAGTAGTTTTTGAAGCACATACTTTTTCACTTTTACTTGAATAAAGAGTTCAAGTTGATACATTAACTTTTACCAGAGTGTTTTTAAACTGCAGTAGCTATACTTCTACTTAAGTAACAAAAGTGTGTACTTTTGACACCACTGGAGCGGAATAATATTTGATAATAGCTTTTTATATTTTGAAGGGAAGCTGTGGTGAAGGTATTACATGTATGTGCAGAAATATCTGTTAGACCATGATTTAAGCTGGATTCACACTTTCATTTGTTATTCTAGCACACAGGCGGTAGGGCCTGTGTTCATAAACAACAGACAACAGTCCAAATATTATCTGATTAAATAACATATTTACCAACCCACCACGGTTGGGCAATAAATATCTTAAAACTTGTAAAAGATAGAGTGAAGAGATCTGCCCCTTTATTAATACCAGATATAGTATTTTCTTCAGAACTGAGGCCAATGTAAATAATAATATTGAAGTGATGCATCCCTAAAAACAAAGAGACATTCTGTTATGAAGCAGTTTTAAGGGTTGTTCTTTCTGTGTTTCTTAGGGAATATATAGCATGCTCAAAGTCAATAATACTGAGCACCTGCCACTCAAATATACTCGTATCCCTTTGTTATCATCACAATCTTTAAATTATTTAGATGTTATTTTGCGATTTCAATACAACGCCAAGTTTTAATATGAGGATGGGGTGTTCAGAGTGATATCATCATCAGCATATTTTACAATACAAATTGTGTTTGAAAAAAAAACTGCTTCAAAACTTTGTCCCTGAACTGTACTGAGTGTTTCAAGGTCTTCATGATGCTTTCTGTTCACTGATGCTCTCCATTAAACCATCAACGCCACCTTAAAACAGCTGCATTTTCTCTAAGACAGGAAATAATATTCTCATCAGGCAAACTCATGGAGGCAATTGATCAACATAAATGTCATTGAAGTCATATCAGAGTAAAAACGGCTGAATCCAAATGCAGGTCATACCTCTCAGCATCTTTATATTTAAAAATGCTGAAAATCATCACGTCACTGAGAACATCACTTTGTGTTGTTCTATCGCAATATTCCAATAAACAGAGAAACAAATTATAAAGAAATTCAGAAGACATATTCTTATATAATTTAGCAAATCAAGATGTGCAGATTAACAACAGAGGACAACCTAACATGAAGATAATCCTGATATATACAGATGGAAAATGTTAAAATCTTGGCTGATTTGCTGTCAGAGATAAGCTCAAAGGCGTCACACGCTGAAATTGTTTAGATTATATTAATCGCTTGTGCAGATATGTATCTGACAGAGATCACATGGAAGCAGGGCAGCAAAATGTGAGAAAGTGTCATTTTTCCTTAACATCATCTATTCTTAGCTCTCTACTTATGTCTTATATTAATCATTAGCTGTGAAGTTTAATATGATCCTAAACTCAGGAGATCACAGACAGAAAATGCACTATGCAAAAAAACTACACATTTTGTTTGACTTTAATTTAAAGTTGAGCAGACCTCAAGCAAACATCCATCTGACAGGGAATCATCAACGTATACAAACAAATCTGTTATGTTGTGTTTTCATCCAAGGATTTTAAGTTCACTGAACTCTGCTATAGTACTACAGGATCAAATAAAAAGCTGCACTTTATGGTAATTCTTTCAAAGTAACTTCTCTATTTAATCATCAGTGGTTTGAATAGGGTCATACTACGGGTGCAGCAGGTAGACTGGAAGAACACCAAGATGTAAAAAATAAATAAAAATAATGATGAATATTTATTGATACACAGAGCTCAGATGATAACTTGGAGATTATTAAAACACAAGGAAACAATGCCATTGAAATATGTTTTCAGAATATTTTTTTATTTAAACTTATTTAAACTAAAAGTATTATCTAAAATAAATATTGACCCTTTGAATGTGTGAGCAAACTGAAAATGTTTTCTTTCTTAAATCTGATGCTTGAAAACCAACTCTTGAAATCTACATCCAGGATATTACAATTATGTTTTTGTGAACAAAACTAACATGTCATTTTTTTCAAGTTTAGACATCAGATATCTAACAGATGCTTTCACTGTTCCAGCTGAGCTTCTTACCTGCTTGGAGTCATTCCCTGTAAAGTGCCAAATGACTGTATTCTGGGAGATATCTGAGCTGGGGCTGTACCAGGCCTGTAAGACCACCATCTGGCCTTTCACCACCTCAATCTCCCTGCTGGGCATCTCCACCTTCCTGGTGTCACCTGGAACAATAACACAAGAGGAAACATGAGGTTAATAAGGAGTTCATTGTTTTTTTCACCTAAAAAGATACAGAAAAATTCACCAAAGGTGAATCAATATTTGGGGCAGTAAAATAATTTCATTTATCATGTTCAACTACAAACACAGGTTTAGAACATGTTCATTTTTAGGAAGTGTGACATTTTTAAAAATTCATATTTGTCTTAAGGTGATCTTTAAATAACTAAACTTGTCCTAATTTGCTTGATATTTTGGTGCTTGGAAAAAATGTATGAATGAATATAGTGTTCAGAATGGCTCAACCAGATGATAATACCTAAAGAATAATCTCAGGAGAAAATTCCCTTTTATTTACCTTCTGGACTATGGATACTTAGAAATTAAAACATAAAATGAGTAATCAGAGAATAAACTGATTATCATAAAAAAACCAAGTTAAATCTTAAATCTTACTCAGACTAAACATAAATGATTGCAGCTAACTTCCTGTACTGTTCTAACATTGCCTGTTACTGTACAGTTGATGGTCAGCTGGCTAAAAGACAAATGATGTTATTTGAACAGACAGACCAGATACGACACCTTATGGAGCTCTACATATCCCTCTTATTAATATAACAGTTTTCAAATTGCAAGATGAATGCAGATATGTGCATTTAGCAGATGAATGCAGGCTGATCACTTAACAGATAGTTCAGCTATTTAATCAGCTAATAGCTTGTTTTTCTCATATTACTCTGGAATAAAAGATAGAAAAATAGCGTAAAATTGATTTGGATAGATATTTATAGCTTCAATGTGCGTTGAAACTCAACAATTGTAATGTATTAATATGTAATTATGCATCAAGCCCAAAAAAAAAAAAAAAAACCTTATCAGCAGATGGGATATTTGTTGGGATATTGGTTTGAATAAAACAAAAGCTTGGTGATTATTAAGTCATGCAGAAATTAATATCAAGTCATGTTATAAAAATAAAAAAAATCCACACTGCTTTATAAAAGAATAAAATCAACTGTGTGTTTCTTTTACTATTATTTAAAAGGGACACAAAAAGTATGAAGAAAAGGTTGAAACTTAATTTAGAATTTTTTTTTATATTATTAATGTGATAAAATGTAAAACTGATCACAATACAGTCAAAAAGAATAAATGCATATATACCTTAAAATATTTTTAGGGGTATATATAGGATGCATTGTCAAAAAAAGGCACAAACACCCCATAAAAAGGAAAAGGATCTCTATGTTAGTTTTATAAAGACCAGAAAAAAGAAAGAGAAAAAAACAGATACTTTGTGCAATAACTGTTTGCGATCATCACAGCTACAGTAAAAACACCCGAACAACAATTGGAAGTTATAAATACAAGATCTGAGAGGAGGCTTTTAGACTCACAGGGTGCCCAGTCACCAGAACCCGACAACTGAAGCTGGATCAGCTGATCCCAGCAGCCGATTTCTATCTGTGTCTCCAGTTTGAATTTCGGTTCAAAAACTGCAGCGGGAAAATGAAGTCAGAACTCCAGCTGTCCCTAAAAGTCTTCCAGTTGCAGAGAGGGAAACTGAGAAATGTGTGCCTAATGTGCTCAGACAGGATCATGGGCAGACCACAGATGAAAGAGAGCGAGTGGAGCAGACCCCCTGCTGAGATCGCCACATCTGCTCAGATAGACACGCCTCCTTTCCTTTTTTTCTTGAATGAGAAGAGACAGGAGGGCTGATGTTTATATGCGTAGATCCTTTTAAAATCATTTCTGTCTCTAATTTAATCTTCAATTAATATATGATATCTAGTATTAGTCTTTAAGTTTCTTTTAGTCACAACGTACAATCTAAAAAGCTGTTCTCAGAGTGACCAGATACCGCTTTACTTTACAAATTAGGGTTGGTCAAGTGTTTAATTATCCAAATCCATTTAACATGAGATTCTTTTCTTGATACACCTTAAACTTAAGCAATTATAGCGAAAAGCTTTAAACTAACCTGGTCATGAAAAAGGATTATGTTTGTTTTATAAACAAGGACTCTTAAAGAATTCCTAAAAATTATAGTCTTAGTTAGATTATAGCAAAATTAGATTGAATATTCCAAAAAAAGCATGAGTAGAGGATTACTTATGCTTTTCAAAATACGTTTTTTAAGCTACTCTGCAAAATAAAAGTCTTAACCTTTCAAAGAGGATAATAATAAAGGAGGAGATTTGAATGGAACATAACCAGTCGTGTCAAAGAGATTAAGGATGTTGTTGAAAAATAAAGCTCAGAGATATTCTTTGCAAAAAAAAGTATAAAAAATTAAATAGAGGCCTTTAATGTAAAAAGAGAAAGCAAACAAATTAATGGTATTTGCTTATACATAAAAAGAGGATTAAAAATAAAATTTTAAAATAATTCTTCAAAAAAAATCTTTCAAAATAAAGTATAATCAAATTCAACCTTTCTCATTGTGGAATTTACTGCACATAAGTAAGTAAGCTAAAGATGTAAAAAAGAAGAAATTCTCATCACCTTTCATCATAAAAATCAAAGATCATTTTCAAAATTAAAAGCTTATTGAAAAATGAAACTAGGTATCATAAGTTTATCTAACCAGCCATTACAAAGCTATTGTGATGGTCTTTTAAAATAAGGCTTACAGTCTCATCAAAATATAATTTTGTTTGTTTTCGTCATAGTTTAGCAGTAATATTTCATATCATTTAAGGCTTTAATGCCTGATGCTCAAGTATGTTGGATGTAGATGAAGTGCTGCTTCTCACGCTGGATGATATGGACCAAACTCCAGGATCAATCATCATTTCTGCAGGAGTCTTTCTAACTTCCGTAATTATATTTTAAAGTGAGATTATCAATCAATCTGTGTGTTTTTTTTTACATTCATTCACAACAGAAAACCTTATGACACTACAACCCATTCTATATTTAACTCCCACTTTAAATGTAGCTCAACCCAAACAAAAATTGTGATCTCAGAACTACTTTTACCTCATGTAAAGATCAGATGTGACCCAGGTCTGTTTCTTCTTGGCCTCCCCTCAAAATCAGTCACTCTGACACAATCACACTTTAAGCTTTGTGACAAATTATTGCTGCTGGGCAGAAGATGCATTTTAATTAATTGGATTAAGAATACGCCACCAACTGTCACACAGTGGTACAGGGAAATATTTAGGGTCCTCCCTCATGAAAGGATTTGTGCGGTTCTTAAGGGTAATGAAAAACATTTTCTTGATATGTGGTCTCCTGTGCTTAGCTATCTACCTAAAGAGTTGACACAACTGGTGATGAGAGGTCAGAATTCTATGAAGTGGAAGGTCTCACCAGGTCTTAACTAAAGGACACCCTCCCTTCGTATCACTAGGCATTTTTCTTTTCCTTTCTCTTACCACCACCGCTAGGTATGTTTGTGTTATCAGGCCTTAAACATGTCTATTGGATACATGATATTACATAAATGTAACACTGTGCGCTGGCTTCCCCCCTTTGTTTTTTTTTTTGTTTGTTTTTTTTTTTTGTTTGTTTGTTTTTCTTTGCATACCGATGTAAGACTATAAGCAGTACATTGTATGATCTATTGTTTTTATTTGTGAAAACATAAAACTAATAAAAAATGTTTGGAAAAAAAAAAAAGAACTACTTTTACCAATTTTTATGCATAAAATCTAAATAATGTGAGGTAAGTGGTACTGTAATGTATGGCAACATCTTAGGGAGCTTTAATCTAATTTATAGATTTATGTCTAAATCTCAAAACTTTGTAATTATTTTTACATACACAAACATCTTTTCCTATGCAGAAAATCATTTTTTTTAATGAATATAATTTTTAAAGGTAACTTTTTTTAAACCACAGAACTTAAAGTTACCTGCTGCTAACCTCCTGCGTTCACCAGCAGATCAGTTAAAAGTATCTTTAGTTTATGTGAAGTTTCGAGGAACAGAAAAGGTCAATGGCTGAAAAATAACACCACTCTCTCTACTGAGGCTAAAGTAGGGAACCTGTTATCAATTATTTTAGGATTCAATTAATTTGTGCTTTTTTTATATAATATTTTTTCTAAAAGATATCTGTTAAGGTACGGTAAGTAATATACTGCAGTAAATATTTGTTCAAGTTAAGTGTTCAGAAATTAAATTTAATTGTTTTTGTATTGAAAGCGTCAAGCATATCTAGAGAAAGATATGCTTTTGCATTTCAGATATTCATCTTATTGTAAATTGTTTGCATTGTTATAAAGTTTTGTATTTATTACTGCACAGAATGAGATATTCTTTTAGCAAAAGGCATATTTTAGATTCTGTATACTCTACTTAATGATTCTTCAATTACAATAAATAAGTTGATGATTCAGTTGTTTATTGGTTTATATGATCAGTCCGTTTAATTGTTTCAGCCCTTAACTTCATTTGGCAGTATACCAATCAGTTCTCACTCAGACCAATCGTTATATACCTGTGTCCAGTGGACAGAGATACAGAGCATAAAAGCAACTTTTACTTTATCACTTTGCACTTTCCTGTGCTATCATTGTGTTGCAGCAATATTCGGCACAAGTTGCATTAATAAACAGACCTGATAGTGATTGTGTTTATGGTGGCTGCAAAACATATATCAATCTCTAAGAGGTAAAATCAAAAGCAACATCAAAGCCTAAAGCTACCTTTAGTGCCTTAAAAAGCACAAACATACATTTTTTATTCTATTTTTTCATAAAAGAAGCAGAAATATAATAACCTGTTTGTATTTTCTTGTGGAGCAATGCAGAGCAAATAGCAAAGTGCAAGAATAATGAGTCATTGGAGTAAATAATTTTTAGAAAATAAAAAAAAAATCCCAGAGAGGTATGATTTGCTTCTGCCTTGCAGCAAGAAGGTTCTGGGTTTGATTCCTGGCCCGGGGTCTTTCTGCATGGAGTTTGGATGTTCTCCCTGTGCATGCATTGGTTCTCTCCAGGTACTCCGGCTTCCTCCCAAAGTCGCAAAACATGACTGTTATGTT